AATCGACATACCTTCTAGTTATTATTATTATTTTTGTTATTATTTTGTTTATTTTGTTTTTATTGCTATTTATATTATTATTTGGTTTGTTAAGTTTGTCCATTTGTTCACAAATAGAAATTGTCCCATTTTGTATTCGTGGAGATCATTTATAATGAAAAAGATTACTTCATTCTCCCAGCATGGTGCAGTAATAACATCTGAAGCAACGCTTAACGGGGGCAACGGTACCGGATGTCAAACTTGAAACGTTACCTCTTTTTTTTTCTGTAGGCATATTTGTTCATCAGCTTTCAAAATGGCACATTTAAGTAAATATAATTTCTAAACAGTGGTCAGCGCTTTTTTCTAGCTTAAACTTCTCTGGAGTGCCGAAGGCACCCCCATTCACAAGGCATCATTCGCTAAGCCATCTGAGGGGTTCGACCAACGATCTGGCGTGCCATGAATATATATTTCGAGTTTTTGCATTTGCTACGATCGTTTAGCAGCCATGGTTCAGACGGCTCGTGGCTCCTACCAACGCCAAACGAAGTTTGTGTACGCCAAGTTACGTGCCTTTACGTGTCTCTGAAATTTGTAGGCGAACACGTTACGACTACACCGTCATAGGCAAACAATAGCACACACATATTTGTATTCAGGGACGCGAATATTCATGACAAATTGGCGCGAACCACAGCAGTACATCTCATCGAGTTATCGCGTTTATATGTTCTGTAAGTTGTCGGCTTTGACAAATGTCTTCCCCACCATGTGAACTGGCTTGCGTTAATCTATTTCATAACCAATTTGGTAGTATGTGGGCAACGTTAGTTCGATCCTATTCAACTCGTTTCGGCTATTTTGTTAACAGTCCTTCAATAGAGAATCAACATCTAATCGAATGTTGATCCGACAATTTTTTACTGATTGTTCCACTGGAGGAACCGTCAGGTTCAGCATTTTTTTTTAAATATTTTTCTTTTCCTATTTGAAAAATGCGCCGCAATCCTTCTCTGTTTCATTGATTTTCTGTCGCTTTATAATCTCTTAAAATTCATTTTAATAAGACTAGTCTCACCATTATTATCATTAAGCACTATTACTATTATTATTAATTTTATCCAGCCAAGTAAGTTAGAATCATACGAACTAGTTATATCGACTGCGCACTAACTATAGTTAAACCTACATCAAGCAAAAATAAAGCACGTATTTATTCTCTTGCGCGGTTCAAAGGAGAGGGGTAAAATTTGCTTTGAGCGCTTTTACCCGCCAACAAACGCTTGAATCTGAAAAGTAACGGGGTCTGCCACTTTCGACTAAGCGCATCGCCGTTCGATCAATAATCGCTAGAGCAACCCAACAAAGCTAGCGTCACCGTCCGCAACGCGCCTCTTAGAGCTGCTGCTTTGTAGGACATTGACGGGCTTCTATATATATATATATATACGTTGTGTTATTATTGACTGCCAATAAAATTACAATCACGACAGTGGGCCATGACATGTGAATATCCCGCAAACGCTTTAGCTGATATTATGTAACGCCGGCTACTATTATTATGTTTGCTAAAAAGAAGTTATTAAGTTTGATGTTAAGTAAATTATTGATCTTACAATTCACAAACTGTACAGATTCTGATTCATCGATCGCGCTAAACTTAGGGTAGTCTTTGGATGCGTAAGCCGACCTTCTTACAATGAGGGAGACCAACGTTGTATGTTGGCCGTCAATTTCGGCTAGCCCAGCTTCATTGCGTTGTGCCATTCTCCTGCCTTGAGGTGTATTGGAGGTTTGTTGAGGTATATCTCCGTGCACAAAAGTAATGCGACGGCCGATGGGGGGGATATAGATTAAGAAAAATACGTATTTGTTGCAGTAGAAAAACTACAAGTATTCAAATGAGTTGAACCTCTTTTATTTTTTTATCAAAGTTCTATTTAACTAATACAGATACAAACACCCTTCTATAAGAGTCTACGAGCGAATGAGTCATTTTGCAGGCTACTTTAGAATACATATTTGAATTGGATCAGGAATTGTCGTACTATTTATAACCAACAATGATCTTCCGTTGACGTATCTATTCATTTGCATGACAAGCATAATTCGTGTAAGAATTGAATAGTTGCTTTTTATCCAAAACTACTTTGCGAAAAACAAACAAGTGGTATTGGCATCAAATGATACGTACGTTTTATGCCGTTACAGCTGACGCGCTCAACAGATGGGTGATGGCAAAGGAAGACGAGAGGCGTGGAGCGTGGGAGTTGAGTCCAGGCAGATGGTTCGCCGACGCCGAAACCAATGTCGGTCTCCGTACAACACAGGATGCCTATTTTTATGGTGCCTCATGCAAGCTTCGCAAACCTTTTTCTAATAAAAACAGAACCCTTGTAATTCAGTTCAATGTGAAGCATGAACAAAGTATCGACTGCGGTGGTGGCTACGTAAAGTTGTTTGATTGTTCACTCAACCAGAAGCAAATGGATGGCCATTCGTCCTATTTGATTATGTTCGGGCCTGACATCTGTGGGCCAGGCACAAAAAAAGTTCATGCCATCATCAGCTATAAAGGGAAGAACCATAAGATTAAAAAGGACGTTCGATGCAAGGATGATGTGTTCTCACACCTCTACACGTTGATCATCCGACCCGATCAAACGTATGAAATTCGTATCGATAACGAGAAGGTTGAATCTGGCGAGCTAGAAAACGACTGGGATTTTTTGCCACCGAAAACGATCAAGGATCCCAAAGCAAAAAAACCCGAAAATTGGGACGATCGCGCGAAAATTGAAGATCCCGATGATGTGAAACCTGAAGACTGGGATCTGCCGCAGTTCATCGTCGATCCGGAGGCCCAAAAACCGGCGGATTGGAATGATCAAATGGACGGCGAATGGGAACCACCTCAGATCAAGAATCCTGACTATAAAGAAGAGTGGAAACCGAAGATGATCGACAATCCGAACTACAAGGGTATGTGGGTTCAACCCGAGATTCAAAACCCTGAGTACCGGCCCGACAAGGAAATTTATCTGCAGAAGGAGATCTGTTACGTAGGGTTCGATCTGTGGCAGGTTAAAGCCGGTTCGATCTTCGATAACATCGTCATTACTGACGATCCAGACTTTGCCCACGAATACAGCCTTGAGACATGGGGATATTTTATTGGGGCGGAAAAACAGGCCAAAGAGGACTATGAAGCTACGGAGAAAGCCAGGGCAGATGCTAAAGCTCGTGAGAAAAAGGACCAGACAAAGAAGAAAAATCAGAACGATGACTATAGTGATGATACTAACCATGATGAATTATAGAACTAAACGAATAGCGAATTCTTTTCGCAAAATCAATAATAAAGGCTATCTTACTCGTTCCTGGTGTAATTTCGTAGCGCTGTTAATTGAACAATGTACAAAGCCGGACACCGAAAACGTCATAACATTGCTTGTTTCATTATTTAGGCACATTTAGCATACAATAGTCATGTGATTTAAATAACACAGTGACAGGAAGCTATAACAGCATATACATTGACGAAGTGTCTATATAAGGTTGACAAAAAGGCGTGACGACAAGTAGGGATTAGTACTTCACTGGTAAATAAAAAAAGAGTGGGAACTGAGAATGGACTGTGCGTTTACTTATAAAAATCAATAGGTTTATCCGAACGAGCGTCTACAATAGGGTTCCTCCATAGATCAAGTCCGTGTGAGGTGGTCCAGGTTCGAAACCGGGCGTGTGCACACGATTTGTTTCGAGTTGGAAAGAGCCAGCCGTCTGAGGCAGTGTAATAAAAATGATAGCACCGGACAAAAAACTTAAAGCATTCTTTATGCATCAAATCCGTCAAGGCAGTTAATATTAAAGCGTTGACAGTATTCGACGGATGAGGTATACAATTTTAGTAAACGTTTAAATTGATTAGGCACTTCTGCAAAAAAAATAAAATATGACGAATGCTATAGAATGGATTGCAATAGCAAATCGTGATGGAAAATTCAGCTCGTGTTACCAACCAAATGAGATATCCCAGATAGCAGAACATCGAACCTTAATGGGACGACAACCTGCGCACGTCGCACTCAGATGCCTAACTGTCGATGATAAAGCACAAACAAGTGTAAATATTCTTTTTAATTTATACAATAGACGTGAAAATCAGACAAAGATAAAATACGGAACATGTCAACAATATTAATGTAATTCGTAGTTTATTAATAACAATAATGAAACAGTAGAGGAGGTATGGTAAAAAAGAAGCTGTGAAAGAATTGATAAGGCAGATTTAAAAAGAACCGAAGCGTAACTGTTTAATTAAGATGCGTTGTTACGTTTCCATCAGTATCGAATCGCGCAGATGGCTTTACTACTTATATCGCACTAAAATTATTATTTTAAAAACTATCCATTAGAATTATTATTATTATTACATAACAGCTGAACAATATCTCCGTGATGTTTTAGTGGGTAACGTATTTGCCTGGTAGTATTAAGGATACGTTGCCGTCTAAACTCGTAATGTAGAGTTCTAAACTTCGGCCTGAGCTTAGCCTTGTATTAGGTTTGCGTTTTACTTTATATACTTATTTTTATATTTATTTTATGTTTGTATCATAAGGATTTTTCAACGATAGCTAGTCTGTTTGTGTTAATCTGTTGAGTAGTGATTTTTCAAACGGGTATGTCAACTTTTTTCAATTTTTTTCGGGGTGTGTAATCCGACATGCGTTAGAAATAAGGATTAGTACTACACTGCGAAATGCTTTTTTTTCCCAAAACTAAAGCTACTTCCCGAAACGCAGCTGTGTGCTTGACAATTAATTATACTGTTGCCCGTAGAGTGGCGCACGCAGTACTGCAGTTCTTAGGAGCAGCATAGCGCTGTCATTATGTAAATATTTGCTATCTCTGCTTTCTTTCTGCAACCATTAAAGCCATTGCATGACCCTTCAGAACGTTATTTCGCCCAACAGTATAGGCTGAATATAAATGAGAGTTTTAATCTTTGCTACGCTCAATCTAAGTCACAGTTCAATGATTTATTTCGCAAGTGATGGTCATTTAACGCAACAAATTTAGGATTTGATATCAAATCCAAGCTTGACGACCACAGTGATGAAAAACTTCGTCGGCAACAGGAGTCTACTGTTGACAGAGTCATTGTTTTACTTAAGCTGGCGTCGCTTGCCACCCGTGACAGAGTCCATGTAAAGGTACGAGCTTAGCACTTGACAAACAGAAATGCCCTCAGCTCAAATGGAACAGCTGCTTGCAGAAGACGGAGGACCCACGGAAGCTTTTTAGCCAGTCTCTAAACGAACCGACGTGATCAGTGCGATCTCTTCGATCTCAATAGGTGTGATCGCCGACCACAGTAACAACGTGAAGGATTCTTACAATGTGAATAAATCTAGCACACTGGCGATAAGAAAACCTCGGTAGCGAGTGCAGTAAGCCCCTAAAACGAGTGTTACACGTTTTCCTTGAGTCATGGTTAATCAGTCAACTAGAGAAATATACCCATGCGAAATTGAAACATGTCACAGAACACGTATGTTGGGTTTGTGTATCTTTAGTATTATGTTTGTATTTATCATTACCTTGCCACGTGTACCAAAGGGCAGTCGGCGCTGAGTCTGTCGTGAAGGTTTGTTACTTCACGCAGGCTAGGCGCTCAGTAGTTCATCGATAAAAGAAAAATGGCAGAGACTTTAACGCAGTGTCTTCCATTGCCCATTCAGTAGTGGGATATATGTAAATTCGTCCTCTCTCTATGTTGCATAGCCTAACGATACCGCCCCATGTTTCCTTGTGAAGTACAACGGACTGCTTCTGACTGACAAATCAGCTACCCAAACGAAGTAGCATGAGTATTGTTCTTAGATGTGTCTACCAGTTTTATTGCTTCAGTATTAGAAACAACAACAACAACAATAATAGCCATGTATAGCCAACAATAATTTAACAGAAAGAAAAACAACAATCCTCTCTAAATTGAATCGTACCAAACTTTAAGGTCACGCCGAGCTCAGGACATCGTTGATTTTCGCTTGCTGCAACAATTTTGCGACGAAATGACGCCGCTTGGTATTGTTATTTGTGTTCTATTGATGTCGGTCGAGGACATGGGTAAGTTCTTTTGTTTAGGCCACTTTTTGGATTGGCCTTTTTCCCAATGACTTTTTTATGCATGCTTGAAACAGTGTTGCCAGAGCGGGGGGGCTTAGTAATTAACTTGTGCTGAATTCCGTCCAAGATGTCGTTCGTGACAAAAGCTGAATCAATAAAGTTAGCTTTAGCTACTGCGGAATGATGATGATCTTGACTAGCTAGTAAAGTTCTAGTACGTAGCAAGTATTCCATTGCTAACAAAAAAACCGCACGATATTCCAATTAAAAATTAATAATATTTCGTACGGCAAAAAGGGGGTTGAGCTATGTTTCAGTTTCGTTAAAAATAAAGGCTAGCGCGTATCTATTATGTAAGCTACCTAATTGATCCTGAATTAATATCACTGTTAATTATATTTAATAATACACCTGCCTGAATGAACTACTGACAAGCTGAAGTAATATTTCCAAATTAACAGGGACATTTTACATATTTCTCAAATTCAACAGAGACAAAATTGCTGAGCGGGAAATTTCGAATTAAAAGATTAAATATCATAATGCAAGTAGAACTGTTGCTTTTACATTGCTACTAATATTTAAGAATTAACCTGAGGCGTACCATAACATGGGGCATAGGGCTCATATTGAGAAGGAATCGAAATATAGAATTATATCAAATGTTGCTAACGTCGCCGATTGTAATGGTCCAGCGTTTTATAATGAAACCTGCGCGACGATTTGCCGGAAACCAGTGTAGAAGAATTTTTACCAAATGCTTACTCCCGTCTTAAGAATATACAGCAAATTCATCCCTGATCACTCGAATTTTTCTTTTCAATTAAAAAGAAAGTGAGAAATCGGACCAACTGGTTACCTAAAAGGAACCTGTTCCTGACGTCGAAAATTCCTGCCTCCACTGTATCATACCATTCAATGCTCTTTGAAAACGGTTTCTAACTTTAATAATTGCTTTATACGTTCCTATACGTATTTATTGAATTAGCAAATATAGCATTAAATATCGCATTCTGCGGATAAACATGTTGAGTGGTCCCGTATTAACTAAACTTTTTTAATATTACAACGTAATATATTAAACAGTCATACTTTCGCAGAGAAAATTTCGTTTTTTCATTTGACGTCCTGATATCGGACAAGCGTTCAGAATACAGGATCAAAACCCTGTTCGATAATGTTCTTTCATTCGATTTCGCTCACTCTGAAGTGTTTGTAACAAAGGGTTAACTCGAGTCAAGCTCCTAGATTCATATAGTAACCATGGTATGATTTGTTGAATGAAATAATTTTCTCTCGCTACAGGCAGTCGTTTCATTGTGTTAACCTGCTTAAATTTCCCAGCGTATCGCGAAATCGGTGGATATACTTACGGTCGAGATTGGGGTTACGAGAGCGAGATCGCGCCTCAGTCCTGGCGAAGGAAGTTTAAGAACTGCGCTGGAAAACGGCAATCGCCTATTAATATTGAAGTGTCGAAGGTATTTTCACTATGATACTAATACAGCGTTTTCGTACGATATAGAAGAATATGGGTAGAACCGGCACAGGCCAATCGCTGAATGGAACAGCTCGAGTAGTTGTTTCGATCAGTCGCCGTCATAAATCAAAGATTGAATCTATATATATATATATATAGAGCACTTCGCAATGACCTGAGTAACTCTTAGTGACTGTACGTTATTTTCTGAAAATGTTTTTTGCCAGTGTATTTCACCACCACTACTAAAATAATTCAGAGAAAATCAATTTTTTGGCTTAGTACTATACGTGGGACACATCTCATATAGACAATCGCTAGTCGTGATAAAATCCAGCCATTGTCTTCCCTGATTTAAATTTGGATCCTATCTATTCCGTTTTTTTTTTCGTATAGCGTCGTTAAGTTATATTACTATCAAAGCATTATATATATATATATATAAATTAATGATTAAATTTTATTTATATAAGCACTGCTCATTGGTACTGCCTACATGGACATGTCCAATAAACGAGATGAGAAAGCATTTCTAGGTTGCTATTTGTTTTCATGATTCTGTTAGGTCGTAGTGAATTCATCACTAGGTCGCATTCTCCTACATGGCTTCAAAGATAAACGTGTTTACACAGTGAAAAATATCGGATCGACAGTATTGGTGCTTCCAGCGTCTGCCGATCCGCCCATAAAACTTGTCAGCGAAAATGGGGAAGAACGGTGCGTATTGGTGATTCGCTTCGATAGGGCTTGAAGTATAATTACATAGGGCCTGCCAAATTAGCCAAAAAAAAAAAGAACGGACATGGCCACTTTGGGCCTGCTCGACCGACCGCATCTTTTTAAAAAAAAATTTAGCATGAAATTACTAAGTGTAAAAACTGATTTAAATCTGAGGCTAACGACCCTCGTATCTTATTATAGCAGTGGAAGACAGCGTACTGATCGATTATGTCATTTTTTATGCTGCTGCAGGTACCATTTTCACAGTTTACATTTCCACTGGACATCGGAACATGCCATCAATAGCCAGTACTATTCGCTCGAAGCTCATTTTGTGCTCTACAACGAAAAGTACAATAACATGGCTAATGCGATTAAATATCAAGATGGTCTTGAGGTGGTCTCAACAATGTTTGCTGTGAGTCTAATCCTTACTCCCTAACCTCTTCCAATTAAACTATATTGAATCAAAAACTATAATTTTCTGAATGCCGACAACCAATCGCCACCTATTATTTACGTGTACCTGATAAAGCATATTTCTTTTCTTGTTAGAACATTGGTTCTAATGATAATAATAGTAATAATACATTGCCTTTCCATGATTTGTAAGCCATCCATATCTGCAAATGTCTAGAACAACGTTCGCTCACGAGAAGCAAGCTCATTCAACCTGCTTCGTAGTAGATCAAATAGGTTCAATACAATAACTCTTGTTAGCTCCCACGATAGCGGCAACCGTCCAGTCAGAAGCTTGTCAACATGGCAGCAAATCTGGCATATGGTTAAGGTTGACGTTTGTCGTACGCTATAGCTGTAGAGGCATAGCTAATTGGAGGTGGTCAGTTTCTTAACGCATGGAGTGTCTGGTCACAGCTCCAACGCGTATTTTACGGGCATCCTCTGGTCGAACCGCTGTCTCCAATGGCTGATTTGCACGCAAGAACAATTTCGAATTCTTTCGTTTACGAAAATATCTTTGAGTCTCGGAAGCAGTCTAATAGAGAAATCGTCTGAACCGTTTAGATAAAAACTGAGAAGTCTAGCCCACACCAGTAGGTGTGTGTCCGCTTATACGCAAACGTAATAGTACTTCTTTTTCAAGAAATACAAGCAAAACCTTGTTCTTATGGTGTGATCTGAAGCTATCGCCGTATTCGATGAATCCCCGTCTGCGTGTCTTGATGGATGCGGTAGCCCACGTACTTGAACCCGACTTCTCGGTTAACGTTACAATGGCGCTGGAGGATATACTCCCGGCCTACATTTCCGCCTATTTCAGATATCCGGGCTCTCTCACCGTGCCCACATGCGATGAGGTTAGTAAATAAACGTTTGTAGAGCTGCGGGCAGAAATGTTTCTATCAATGTATACACATGAATTATATACGAGTGCATAAAAAGCTGTTTGCTGATACAAGCCCTTCACTGTTCGAATTTGTATACCTTAAGTGGAGCACATTTTCACCAGCAGTAAGATATGAGCGTGCTTTAAAGGACGAAGGAGAAAGAACAACTGGCATGAGTTTAATGAGAATATAGTTAGGAATATCTCATTGTAGGGGATTTTCGATTTTCTTACTCTAACGTTATCCTTTGCATGCTGCATTGTAATACTATGATGCTAAACTTGAAAGTTAAATTGTTAAACCTAGTTAAACTAGGTGTTAACTATCAGCTCAATAGCGTTGTGGCGTAAAATGGTCCATTAACGTATCACTGTGTCGACAAACTTTTTCTCTCGAGGTGGTAACATGGACTATGTTTTATCCGCCGAATTATATCGGTCTATACCAGTTGAAGCTGTTTCGTTTCTTACATAGATTGGCCATTAATAGCAAACTAGACTCGTGGCGGAAGCTCAATAATCGGAGACCCCTCCAATCCCTCAATGGACGCGCTGTACAGGTAATCAGCGACTAAGCATTAAACCAATCGACACTACAGATTGTAATTCTCGCACTAACAACGGTACCCTTTATAGCGTTGAAGCCAATTAACTGAACTGGATCTCGCTTAAGTGAAAAAAACACTTTGTTAACATTAGACCAGCTTATTGTTGTTCAAGCTACACGACGGCCGCATCCCTGGCCGAATCTATCAGAGGGGCTTTAATTAGTTGGACTACCTACAACTCGCCCTCGAAGATTCCTCTTGTTTTTTTCCCTAGCATACATCTATAACTGAAGCCAGTTATCGATTGAAGAATGATATTGAAACGTAGTAAAAACGTTTTATAATTATTGAAGTACTCACATTAGTTTGCGTAAACACAGTTGGAAGTTGATTGGTGAAGCAACTTCCAACTGTGCTGGGGCCATATAGTTACAGAACAAGTATTTGATGAGAACTTAAACGGAGAATTCTAGCTATTATTATTATTATGTGTACTTTTACCAGGACTGCCAATTCGAATGATCTAGTTGCTTATCGTACGCCGTATCATGGCTTTAATAGAAAACATACATAAAAGCGACCTAATGTAATGCTGTCAACTAGCTAAAATCCAGAAATGGGTTTTATATTGCGTAGTTGAATCACGATTCTCGAGGCGTTCGGTTTGCAATGAATCTAATTTGTCGCTTTCAGATGTACGCTACAAGTTATGCACCGCTATACGCTGGCTGAGTGTTTGACCCAAGGACTTCGTGTTGGTGACTCATGGCACACTCGTGGAACAGCGTCCAGACACCATAAATCAATAGCCCATAGCAATTACATTAGATCCAGTCGCCTGGTCACTCATTCACCTAGATAATTATTATTAGTAATACTCGACAATTCTAGATAATCTGTCGTGTGCTAATGACAGTTAGTAGATTGAAGATAAGGGTTAGTTTTGGAATTATTTTTGATTTTCTATTTTAAATAGGGGAAGGCCTCTTCAAACCCGCAATGAGCTAACTGGCTTTCTGTCCAATTGGTTGATGACGCAATTACTTCGGGCGTATTTTATTGTTCAGATTACGGCTGCACGTGCAGTTATTCAGTATCCGCGAGTTCAGATAGCATCTTAGTGGTAACTGCAAGCCGTTCGTCAACAAGGCGGGAAATAGTCTGCAAGTAAAATAGAAAATGCTAATTATGATAAATTAGCGGATAAATGATTCCTATTCATGATAGTAAATCGATATTCAGTCATTAAAAATATGAAGCATTGATGGCAAGTTGTTTCAGAGTAGAAAACGAATTATTGTCTTTGGTGTTAGATATAATGTTAATTGAACGCAAGAGTAGTGGTTCAAGCATCTTTCTGGCTCACACGTACATGTTCATGTGCAGAAAAAAGACTGCGATAAGCACGTTTAAGCGGTTTATTGAGATCACTTTAGATTAAGATTAGTATTAAATAAATTTTAAATAAATGTTTACAATGAAAACGTTTTTAAAAGCTAAATTAAAAAATTAATGAGAATTCAACTCATGTCCATCACTGAAATTCCTATCTAGTTCCTACAGCATTAACTGACATTGCATTGGAATAGTGCATAATGAAGTAGATGCGGTTCAGAAGACTTTGTGTTAAATTATAAAAAATAAGTCCAAAAACAGTGTGTTTCATAAAAGCGTGTCCAAGCCCCTCACCGACAAGCAGAAAACATTTGCGGACCCCATGTTTTCTTCAGCACCGAGGACAGGCATGGGCACATGCCACTGGTCCTTATTTGGACGCTCCATAGTTATGACCGTTTGTATCAAAGCGTCGAAGACTGCCACAATATCAAGAACGCGAAACATTACGTTTTCAACTACGAGATGTCGAAGTTCATCGCACATGCCATATCTAACAGCGCGGGTCCTCCTCAGAGCATTTTTCCTTTGCTGCAGATCTGTGTTAATTCGCTTTAACAGCTAAATAATAGAAGTACAAACAAAAACCTCTATAACACAGGGAACAATAATATTCGTAACTATGACTACTGAAAACATACGACTTTATATAGACGTTATATGAGTTTGCTATTCCATCCTGGGAGGAAACATGCTGCATTTCATTTGCGGATTTATGCACGAGTGTTTGGGGTCGTATAAGTCATAATATTGGGCCTTTTCGGGTAGGCGAGAATAATCCCTATGTACTACTACGTTCCCAGTTGCCTTATTTAAAAACACTCTGTTTTACAGAATGACTCCATTCGAGGAAGCACGTATATAACAATAGACAGTTTATTATTATTACGGCCTTGCACTTATTACTTTATGCTATTAATACGGAAAAGAGTCAAAGCGCCTCCTAAGTACGGTTCCTTATTGCACCACGGCCTGACTTCAGAGCTTCGTCATACCGTTGTGCTATTAGCGAAAGCTCGTAGCCACGTCAGAGGAAACCACTTTCGGAAAGAAACAAATTCACTCGCGTTCTCAAGCTATATTGCTGTTCTGTGGCTTACTCTATGGGATAATAACGCGTACATAAAATCAGGAAGATATGTTTAGCGTTGATACGATAAAACGCTGGCTCGAGACCGTTTCCACGATCAAAATCATTTTTCATAGATGCTATTCACTGTGCTTGGTTTATTTGGTATGGGCATAGTGCTAAATGATGGGCTTAATCTTGTCGTATTCAAGTTGAGTATCCTTTTAGAAACTGCAATCCAGAGCTAATCAGCCGACTCGAAAGCAGTCGGAACAGGTCTATAATTAATAAGAAAACCATATTGAAACCAATGCTTGCCACCGGTGCTTCCATCGAATAGGTAACATCATTATTGGTAAAAGGAAAAAGAATAGAGAATAAGGCTCAACACGTAATGGGAAGGACAACAATTCGAACTTACACGAAAAGCAGCATCCTCTGTCTGCCATTCTAAAAAGTTGCGTAACTGTTTCAGGCTGGCGTTTTCGGCTTCTAGTCTATCTAATTTTTCTTTTCTGAGCAACTTTTCAAGTTCAAGCGCGTCGATTTTTCGACGAAGACTCAGCGCGTGTTCACGGCTGTTGTATTCAGCCATCGTGCTTGCACTTTCGTTTGTGCAGAACGTTAGGCCGAATAAACCGTGTGGATTCAAAGAGTAGGTGCAAAAGTATTCGTTCTTTTCCACACAATTGTAATTTAATACAATAAAACTCGTTAATTTCTTTTCTCAGGTTGGATCGTAGGTCAAAGTTAAATATGATCTGCACGAGCTATCAAGCTCAAAGGTATGATGTGTATGTTAGAAGTTCAATAACCGAAATGACACCGTTGTGCAAAATCTGTGGAGATCAGTAGTAATGGTTGTCGTTCTTACGTACTAGCAAAGCAATCAGGAAGCGTATGTATATAGCCGTAATTTTATGCTTTAATGCTACACAAAATTTAGCGTTATGTTGTCATTTAGTAACCAGAATCCTGTAGAAATAGATTCGTACCAGACGCTATGTATCCAAGCGGGTCAAGTTGCTGATATCCGATCCGAGTAAATGATAAAATCCGAAGACATTTGAAAAGTGGCGAGAAAAGGGGCAATGTAATCTGGATGGCTAATCCACGTCTCTTTGAGTACTTTGCTATGACTATCAAGCGTGCTGCCATGCTAATTATTAGCGTCGATGAAATTTATTACCATGTATGACTAATCATGCAAATGAGAAATAATGCTATACCTGAAAATTGGTTATTTCGTTTGTTTTTCGATTTGTTTCCATTCACTGAGTAACTAACAACGCTAAAGAATACATCGAAAAGAAGGCCCATAACGACGACAAACCGGACGTGATTATCGCACTCCAGAAGGCGGAACTCGTATCCTTGAGCAAACTTAGGGAAATCTGTGAATGTCTATTATAGCAGTCTCAGAAGTCACTATACCAATTCCGGATCTCCGAAAGTTCATTCTGGGGTTAATGTATCATATGTATATTGCTGAGCTGGCCGGATATTTCGGAGAGAGAACGTCACTGTCAACGATATTGTTATACTTGTCCGTTGAGTTGTACGAATCTCACAGCATGTTAATATGTTGGTGATTACGTACTAGCCTTAATGCTTAACAAAGGTACAGCGTATGACTGTGTAGTCACACTTGATTTTAGTGTGGATGGATGCTCGCCATTGATTGTATTTTTATTGTTGAATGGAACGAGGAATTATTTTCTACTTATACTGATGCTCCCATAAGCTAGTACAGTATTGTACGAAACGGCATAATCAACTGACTCACTCAGGTATGCTGTACTGGCATTGTCCAACCCTTTCGATAGATTTCCAGCTTAATGATTGTTTTAATTATCTCACTTATGAAATCGCACCGACAAACATGACCTACTCGCTAATCACTATTATTTATTGTTGTCTATATCTATCATATATGCATCGTTGGGCCACTCCGTACCACGTTAGTCAAGTAAAGCAAATGACAGGCTTGGAAGGCCACTGGAGACAGTGGAATTAACAGACCAGCAGAAAGATCATTAAAAAAAACGCGCACTAATTCAACTCTAAGTAACTCGCTCGCAAATTGATCGAGTGCGCAGAATAACCAAAACTTAACAATCCAGACAAGGCGGCCGAAGTTATACCCGTCACTACTAACAAATCACAAACAATTTGATGCTATTGATGTTTTTTTGTTGAATGAATTGTACAGCAAGCTAAGATGGCCTCAGTCAGATTGGCAACCAACTGCGTGTGAATAGAATCGTTACAAGCCTCGTACACTGTTTGTATGCTACCTGTCCTCGCACTGAGCGGTGGCCGGTCTAATCTATAGTAATGGGCCACCTAAAACTTGGCCTTACGCACTAATAAGTAACGAACTTCCAATAATATACGGATATACCCTTGCAAGTACCACGACATTTTGGCATATTCTTTCGTACAGCATCAGCTTTCGCTATCGTTTATGATCTACTGATTTGTTCGGAAGCGTCTCGAAGAACCTTTTCTAATTTGTTGATGTCATCCTCACGAAGCTCACAATTGAGGAGCAACTTAATCGCGGGATCATATTTCATGCTTTCCCGCTCGTTGATGTACCGCGCTGCTGTTAACGCTATGTTATTTTTTGCCGCATATGTAATGATGTCGTCCACCCGCTGTTGCATCGCGATCGGATCGCGATCGTGAAGCACGGTGTCTTCGTGAAGTAGAAGATACTTAATTGGTGATAGAGGGTTACTACCCGTCCGCAGTCCTCGTATATGCTTAACTTTGTTGTGCACTGTTTCACAAATATTACGCAGCTTGGCACATCGTTCAGGCTCATTGGTGAGACAGCTGAGATTCGCAATTGAAGATTCCGCCTGGAACGCCGGCAGTGAGGCGGAAAACGCGTACGCTTTACTGTGGCATCGTTGGTGCTCAACGACAAACTCGGTTCCACACACAAACCCTCCTGTGCTACTCAGACTGTGCTCGAATGAGCCGGCAATGAGGTCGGCCTCGGATAGGTCAACGGAGAAATGCTCAAATACACCTTTGCCCGACGCTCCCAAGACGCCGAACGACACCGACTCGTCAATAAACAAGCGGCATTTGTATTTAGCGCGGAGTGCGACCATTTTTCTAAGATTGACTAGGGTGCCACTGTTCATATAAATGCCTTCGAGTATTAGGAACCGACAGGTTTTGTTCCGTCGAAAACGATTCTTGCGGCTTTGCTGCTGTTCACGGCGTTCTTCTTGTTGCAACAGCCGCTCCAGATCTTCACAGTTATTATGTTTAAAGTAATAGTACCTACATCTTGCAGCCCCGATTCCCTGGCTTATTCCAAAATTCACTGCTTCATCAGCAAAGATCACGTCTTCACGCTGCACGTAAGCGGGTATTGAGCTATACATAACGGTGAAATTGAGCGCGTATAGAACAACAGCTTCAACGCCCATAAATTTTGCTACCTGACTTTCCAGCTTGAGATGGAGGTCTAACGTACCAAAAAATGCTCGGGGCCCACATGTGCCTACACCATAAGTCTTCAGTGCTTGTAAAGCACTCCGATCCGTTTGTTGTCGATCGGCTAGGCCGAGATAGTTGTGTATAGCCAAATTCAAATGGGTTCCCTCTCCCACGATCGTGATCATCTTTCCAACGCGGCCGGAGACAATTCGTGGCTTGATCGCGTACGTTGTTTTGCGGGCCCCTTCCGGACAGATCTCATTTTCGAGTGGATTAGGATTAAATTCGTTAATTCTGGCTATCAACCGCCGCTCGCGATGTTTGTCCCTCGAACGTAATTTGCTCAGAATGAGGCTGTAAATGCAGATTACCAGGATGGCTATAGTGAGGAGGGCAGCAAAGGTTTGAGGTGATTGAAGCTGACCCGCGAACGCGTGCAGTTTTTTCACGTTTTTTTGAATCGATACCCAGCACGGAAACAAATGTTTGTCAACACAGATTTCACAAAGGATATCAATTGGATACAGTAATACTAGCACAACATGGGTAGAGAATAGGTGTGTCGAATTTGTTAGCCATTGGGTCGCACTGACGATACACATTGTCGTCAAGATGTTTAATGCGCTAAAAAAAAGCTGTTCTAAAAGCAAAAATTGTTTTAGCGTAGGGTGGCATCAAAAACCTATCTGCACCTGTATTCTCCCCACAACCTAGGACATTAGCAGTCATTTCATAGGCCAGTTAAAAGAATACAGATTGCGCGAGGCCAAGCTAAGCAGACATCGTACAATATTGATAAACAAAGGAAAGCCGAATATCAGGACTAGCAATTTCGTTTAAATTTTGGTTAATCATTTGGTGGTATTTTTCCAAATGAATTATATTAGAATTAACTGGCTGAAATCTATTTAAGGCTATTTTAAGTATAACGTTGCGTTTTCTATTACCTAACAGAGAGCCTCAATTAATTTTGATGCTGTTTAACATAGGAATCTATTTTACTGACTTGTCCATTGTGTAATATGAGAATCGCCTAAAGCTGCTTAGAGTATGCGTGTAGGAAAAGCATTCAACAAAAGCCACCAGCAAATCAGGTTGCTTGCCGATGCATGTACATACTATATTTAAGGCCTGGACATATAGGGTGATTAAATAGAGATATATGTGAACTACTTGATTATATAAAATTATGCAGAATGTTTTACTTAGTACGGGTTGAACGAATAACTTTTTAACTTTTTCTAATTAGAAGTACCCACGCTATCTTCCTGATTACGCAAGGGTCTCTTGACCACGGCTTAACATTAGCTGAACCCAGTATTAACATAAACCTTAGGAAAGAATTTAAAACAAAGACGTCATTCCTGAGCTGGAGGTCAGCCGTCAGATGCAATAAATACAATACATAAGAATAATACAATAAAAAAACAATACATAAGAAAATTGAAAACTGATGATTGATGGAAATACTGAATCTTCAAACATTTATTTAGCCTTCCGCTCATACGTTTCATTTAGTTGACAGACAAGATACAACAATTTTAAATATCTTATTCAATATTCAGCAAATAAAGTGATCATGTATATATATATATATATTGTATACTGATTAATATATTCACACACTAAAAATATTATTACGTAATGTATTTCAACAGCGACATAAGTCCAAGGTGTAATTTCGTAAAGAATAACTACCTAGATGAAATCAACAGCTTTGGCATATTAAATCAACATATGCGTGTACATACGTGTAAACAACTTTACTCCATGAAAAGCCCTTTAGGGATTTATCGTTTGCTGCTCGAACCGAATCGCAGTTTGTATTTCGTCGGCAGGTAGTGACCCATTCGTTCACTGTAGAGCCGACCGAAGCTGGGTATTCAAATAACTCTTTTTCATCAATATACCAAAACTGACGTTTACGATGTGCTTTTTAATTTATTAAACTGCTTATCTTCGACAGTATGTTTCGAACGGCACAGATGCCTTCTGGCGATCGAAAATAACTAGAGAAGTCTAACTTTTTTGTGATAATCAGGCAGTCCTTACGCAGATTTTAAATTACCTTAGGATGCTGAGTGATTAAATAGAGGTGACTCCCAAAATTGGTGAAAAAAATGTGCAGAAAATGGAGCCGATCCCAGGTAATTCTTGATGATCGATGAAGTACTAAGATCTGTACGGAAATCCACCGTAAGTAGACATTGCGTGTCCAAGCAATGTGCCTATAAAATTATTTGCGGAATCTGGGACTCCAAGATGTTTTTAAACTCATTTACTTTTACGACTCAGCACTTCAAAAGGTAACGTCGAATCTATACTCCAACGACACTTTTTGAACATTTGAAATGAATCGCTGTCGATAAGTTGATCGGTGTCCCGGTATTCAAGTGGATACCTCCAATAGTACGAAACCTTAAAGTAATTTTTGTTTTCATCAAGTTTCTATGATTCCGTTGCTCCTCTTTGTTGAGTCATCGCTCAGAATCCTCCTTTTTATTATATTTGAAACAGTACACAGTGCTTCTCGAGGCCAAGATACCTTATTGTATGCAAAATATGCATGTACATCACCGAAACTTATTGTCGAAAGAAAGGCGTCATTGGGCTTTGGGTTCAAGGGAATCGCGTTCGAAACGGCAGCGAATGCTGACGAGTAGAGACACGCCTCTTTAGATCCCGAAAACTCGGCCACACTTTCCTCAGCCGCCGAATGAGCATTAGTATCAAAAAACCATCGAAGCCCGCGAGTTCCCATGCCGTATTACCGTAGCGTTTCAGTTACCTTTTTGACCTGATAGCCCAAGATAACGACGAATGGTGATATTTGCTTCAAATTTGATCCTTTTTCTGCCAACGACTATTTCTTATTATACGAATTGGCACTCAAATCTCACTAATTATAAGACATATAATTGTAAAACCATAATATATGGATACGCCATAAGGTTGTCTGCTTACCTAACTTAGCTAGCTGAGACCCAGGTGTACCTACAGTATTACGCCGAAGGCCTGAATAGAGATCCAAAGATGCATCCTAAACAAAAAAAAACCCTGGCTAAATTCTGTATTGTATATGACCTCAATAAACTGACAAGATCAATGAGATTCATCAGTTGCGCGATTCATTCCAGTGTCTGGCTATCCGAATCCTACAATGACTCTGCCTTTGGAGAAAGAGCAGTACGTCAGCGAGACAACGACTTTCGTATGCACTACCTTTCCTTTAACTAAAAGAAAGGAACACTTTAATGAGAAAATATTTTTCATACTATTTGTTCATTGGATAACAGCAACCGTCTATGGGATAATATATATACTCAGGGCGCTCGATTGGTGCTTTCTTATACAAATAGGCATAATTTTTGGCCATTTGCGCATATACGATTTATGCTTTAGAGGAGAACGTGCAAGTCGCTATAACCTGCGGTTAACCGGGTTCCTAAAAAATATCAAAAGGGTAAGAATTAATAATTTATTATACACGATAAAAAAGAAAAAAATTAACACCGATCAATCCTATCAGGTTAGATCAATCGCAATCAGTATTGACTAAGTTGTGCTGTTTAGCCTTGGGCGCCTTACTGTGACTGTTGAGTAGTTAGTTAATTGGCTGAATAGCACCGGAATTATCACCACACACGTGTACCGAACATATTGCTTTCAGAGCATGTTTCGGCTGGAAAATGAAATAGAAATTCGTACGAACAGAAACATAAAATGTGGCGAAAAAGGGTGCAAGAACATAAATCCAAATAAATGATTGTACTTCTAGCGGTTCTCTGAATTATTTGTTAATATAAAAATTATTTCTATGATAACAACAAAAGTACAGTTATAATGAAAACCACACATTTTCCTATATGTCTCATGTGACCACAAATATAACTTCACACAGGCTTAAGCTCATTATTGTAAACAGTCATGTAGGGTCAGCCTCATCACTGTCCGCATCAGCCCCGTTTATCTGCCAATAGCCCTCCCTTCTGCTGTTCCGTATTGATTGAACGAAGTGAAAGCATTAAAGTATATTGAACTAGCCGATTATTCTAATCTTTATTCAAATATACTCCAAATACTTCAAATATAATCTTGATTTCCGTAGAGTTTTCACGTACGACATTCACCTTTCGGCAGGTTGACTAAAATTTTAAATCTCAAACATTCCTTATAATGCACCGTAATTGCACATTTGCTGTTAAATACACATTACGTTTATATTTTGAGTATTGTCGTTCTTTATTAGCAAACTTTCGGGTCTTTTTTTTTAGGACTTGTCTGAGATATCTAACTACGTACAGCAACCGCTGTCACTCACATGCGTGCACATACGCGTGTTCTGTTCAGGTTCTTTCGGAGCAAACACCGATCAAAACGCTTTTATTTATTGTGTACTTAAGGGTATCTCTGACATACCCGGTTAACACTCACGCTCTAGAAATTAGTTATTTGCACGAACATTTATAGCAGCACCCAAGTAAATTCAAGCTTTTCCACTCGTAAATTTTTTCGCTATTGTTGTTGTTGTTGTCATACTGTATGAAATCGACCCGGACAAGATGTGCCCTTATACACAAGCAACATATAAGGTCTTGCCTTGTTTCACTTTGGTCATATCACACCAGACGTAGAGTTACCATCCCCACAAAGCATGTTGTGAACTTCGCACAGCTGAGAGTGTTTACCCTCCCGGTTACACAGGTGCAACAATGCCCAATACGGCACATCGCACAATAGCCCATGTGCAGGTTGGCAGTCACATGTATCTCTGGACACTAGTCATGATAATATGCAACAAACATGTTTATATATTTCTATAACTATATGTGTACATCTCTCTATGAATCTGGGTGCAGCAAACACCCAATAAGCAAACAACTGAAGACCGAAACCATTCTGGGAACGGGCGCATCGATTTTTCAGCCATGATAAAGCGATAAGGCACTGGCTAAATGTAATACGATAGATTCGAAACCCTCTCGACTAAAAAGCCAACCAATCTAGCTGCTAGTAAATATCGACAGTTCATTTTACGCAACTGCTAAGGCCATAGTCGCTACTAACTGTAGTGAAATTTGTTCCATTGTGCTATGGACGTAAACAAGTATTGTAGTCCAGCATATCTTTCATCTCATTATTTCACCGTTTACTTAAATCGTCCGTCACTGGCGCACGAATACACGTGGTATACTTCTGAGTTGTACATCTTTAGGCTGGCTAGGCAGAAGGAAAAATTATACCTGTCTCCCGTAGTCATAAAAAAGGTTTCTTGCTAATCATATGCACGTCATTCGTTAAAAATTACACTTGAATAGGCACATTCATTCAGTCACATGTTCACAGAAACTTTCGACAAGCATCCTGTAGAATAGTGATCACATGCTGAATCTCGTCTTGATTTAAAAGGCTACTAACAGTCAGCTTTATCGACGCCGGGTGCTCGAGATGTTCCTTTTCGTCGATATAACGTGCCAGACTGAGCGCGACCCCATGCTCTTCGGCGTATGTGAGAATTTTACCAAGTTTCTCTTGATCGAGCCGGTTCGATGCCTGAGGCTCACTCAAGCAGATGTGTTTCACAGGCGATAACGGATGACTGTCTGTTCGAAGACCGCTGACGTTCGTCGCAAGAAGATTGTGGATCTGCCGTGCATTTTTGCGGAGCTGCTCCAACGATTCGGGTTGATCGGTGATGATGTCGAGGTGCGAGAGTGTGACGACGGCTTGCATCGGTGGGAGCGATGCTGAAAAGCAATAACCAAGACCACATAAACGTTGGTGTTCCATGAGGAAGTGCGATCCACAAAGGAATCCTCCGTAGCTTGACACGGCATGTTCGAGCGTCGAGCTCATAAGATCAATCTCTGAGTTCGGCACTCCAAAGTGCTCACGGACTCCCTTGCCAGTTTTGCCTAAAACTCCGAATGATAGCGATTCGTCAATGAAAAGTCGACACTTGTAGCGTGCGCGCAACTTCACCATTTCCGGTAGGTTGACTAAGGTGCCGGTGTTCATGTAAATACCTTCAAGTATAAGGAAACGCCGAATAATCTTAGCCTTCTTAGGGTTCTGGCGATCGCGTCCATCTTGAGCTATCAGGAGTCGTTCAAGATCTGCGGGATCATTATGCTTGAAAAAGTAGACAGTGCTACGAGAAGCTACAATGCCCTGCTGTATTGAGAAATTCACTTGTTCATCAGCGAAGATCACGTCATGCGGCTTTGAATACGACGGAATACCACTGGAAATAGCCGAAAAACCGTACGAGTACAGACAAGCCTCTTCTACACCCATGAATTGGGCCAGACGAGCCTCGAGCCCAAGGTGGACATCAGCTGTGCCATAGAAACCTCGTGGACCACACGATCCTACACCATAATTCTTCAAGGCTTTAGTCGCAGTCTCGTTCGAATCCTCGCGATCAGCTAAGCCAAGATAGTTGTGTGTAGCCAAATTGAGTAAACGCTTACCGTCGATCGTGATGTATTTACCGATACGCCCCGATATCACTCGCGGATTTAGCGCATAATGATCCTTCTGTACCTTACCGAACAACGGCTCGGGCTCGAAATCGGCCAACACCTGAGCCTTCTCTGCTTCGGTCATCCGACGCATCTGTGATTCGTGTGAGCCCGGTCCCTTTCTCAGTGTCCACACAAGAAGAAGCACTATGCTCAATTCGAATGCAAGCTGCGCTGACGGGGCTGAATATACCGACTCGGCGTACTCGAAAAGTGTCTCCATAATTCTCTTTTCTCGTTGCTCGCGTGGTGCAGCACTGCGTGATACAGTCGATCCACGCTTCACTTAACAGCCTCTCATTGAACTGCTCGCACTGGTACGTCTCTTCCACCAGCCAATTTACCCCGGCCGTCAACGCCGCTCGCCTGGCTGTTGACTCTAGGATTTGCGATTTCTGGCAATTGCTGATTAATGATAACACCCTCCGCGTGGCCACTTGTGGTAAAACTGCAACAAGTCTGCTTAATCACCCACCGAAAGAAGCTGCTGGAGGGATTGCTGTCGGCAAGTAAAATTTCCAGACGTCGCTCGTTGATGCTTGCTAGGGAGAAGCTTGCGGATGTGGCTGGCTCATAACCTCGACGAATTTCGCTGACTGAACATAGTTCGACTGGTCCACAGTATAGTGAAGCGGACACAAGGGTCAAAGGAGTTCCTGTGAATGCTAATACGGGGCTCTAGCGATTACCGAACCGTAGAAAATTATGGATTGAGCAGAATTCTCAATGTGGTACCAGCTGCTACTGTGGCATCGCTATTGCGCTGTGATTTCTCTACGCGCTAATTGTCACTCGCCGAGTCTATCCTCTGCGCGATGGAGTTTCTCGATTAAATTTCCATTCGCAAACATTCGCAACCTAGAACACAAAAGCCAGAAAAGAAAAGAGGCATATTGGTTAGTTCATGGTCACTACCGGAAGCTCTCATAGGTAACGTATCATATAATATTTTTCGTAACAACAATAAAAAAATTAGAGGAAAATCATTTAAAAACAGAAGTCACTTCCGCATACAAGTCAGCATAAACAATCTTCACTCGTGAAGAACATAAACGCGACAATTGTATATGTAACCGTAAGGCTCTGCGTATCTGGGTCATTCTGGATTGGCATTGTTATCTGGGTCTTAGTTAAGTCAAGGTGAGGTACAGAATCTCGTCCTAGTATTAGATTGGAGGAATTCAGATTATGAAAACGCTATCAGAACTGATATTAAATCGTTTATGTAAAAGATATTATTCTAGAGACCTTCAAGCTACAACTTGAGAAAGCATATTAGAATACGTGTCCATACAATTGAAAGTACTGTCATTAGTTTTATCGCTAATTAGCACTAAGTGCCGCAAAAACAGTGACTGTCTCAACTGCCGTAAATGATTCTAGCGGAATGAGTCCTAATACCATAATAAGGGTTATACCGACAACACAAACACAGTCCAATCGAAGGCCAATCCGTGGATAACATTTGTATGATAGAGTTACAGTTATACAAATTACCGTATTGTCTTCTTTTTCAGAGCCACCGGGCACGGAGTCCATTGAGCAGACAACGATGTTTACAAACAATGGCCCGTTCTCCTGGCGACCAATCGGTTGTAGCCCTCGCGAAAAGGACGCGCTATCGGACAGAATCGAATAGAAGCTAGTTATGCTGAAAGAGCGAAAACAGCAGTTCGTATCTGACTGTGAGAGTAAAGCTGAGGCGTTAGAATGTTTGCGTGTCTAGTAAGTCTAGGTACCAATTACGAGTATATGGATTCACTAATTTAATGGTTCACTATTTTAACTATTTCCCCTGGTAGAATTACGTAACTCGACATTATCGGACCCGTTTTGGTTAATAAAATGTCTATTCGAAGATTTTATAGAGTAATTTATCATATAAGGATTTTATTCTTCTATAGCATGCTTACGGTCTATAGGTACTAGGTGAAAATCTATTTAAATTTTAACAGTAGTCTTTCATTACGCATATAAATGAGGACTCCTCACAATATGGCAGCTCGAAAAGTTCCAATAAGGCAAACGTACTCGTTCCAAGAATGCCGTTATTATAATCGTACGGGTAAACAAATATAAATTATAAATTAAATTATTCACAATATTTACATTTAAATCAATTTTAAATGTACATTTCTATCAAACGATGGTGTACAACTATCTACACCTGACTACCCCCTCAGTCCGTTCAGCGTTATCACGATTTTTTAGAACGTATTACCAAAATACCAAATGGTTGTTATAACTTATTGAAACCGATGTAGTTACATACAGTGAATAAAGAAGAGAAAAAATAAAAAAATAGTACAAAACATATGTAGAATAATTTATATATATATACACAAGATTAATTATAATTTATATTAAAATATATTTAAATTTATTTACATATTCAAGAGATCCCACTAGCGTCTAGCCTTTCCGTCAAATGTAGACAAAACAGTAAAGCAGTTCTCTGCGAATATACGAATTACCTACTTTCTTGCACCTGCATTTAACCATTGTAACTCAACTCTACGAAGTCTTGGGGTCGTCCAAATCAAACACTACCCAACTATTCTAATTGTACCTACTACGACTTTCACTATACTCCATATACGTAATTAGATTAATTTTGCATTCGAGGTATGTTTGATCATCAAACGGTCCACGATTGCAACGCCTTAGCTAGACACCCTGTTGGCGTGTGTCGATAGGCAAAGTAGTCGGGTCGACTGCGATCAATATACCGGTGCATATCTACCTATAAACTGCTCAGTAGCCAACATTCAAAAAAACCTAACCTTCCTTTGTCCTCTCTCTCAATATTTCGACCTTTAAGGGTGCAAGTTTGTGATTAATGAATCATTACTCGGCATAACGACGGATTGAATGCATTGTATGTTCACATGAATCGCTACCATTCTATTCGTTTGGACAAATCCACAAATATCTCATTGAGAGCGTAGCTAACTCGCAACTGTCAAACAAAGCAACGAAATGCGTCTCGAGGCTTTGCCAACGTCACGCGACGGTGGACAACAGCCCGCTGTGCTGGGTCGGGCCGTTGTCTGCACAGTTAATTATGCGACGTTCAAACAACGTATCACTCGTGGCAAGCGGCCGGTACTCGACCATCCAGCCACTCCCTTTAGCTATATTGTGCACTCAGAGGCTTTTTATTGATTCCCTTTGCCTGCGAGATCTGTATGTCGGCCCTGTTACAATGCCATGGCTGCTAGAGCACTAATAAGACTGGTGGCGCCATCGGTGATCATGTAGTAAATCTTTGAGCTCGCTTTCTCTCCCATTTCGTCTTTTTCACTCTGCCGTTTAGGCTGTGCACAGCGAAGCACAGAGATACCTTTTCTAAGCAGAGCGATACCTTTTCTTTCGGACGACAACCCCTGTGGCTGTCTGTCTGAATGGCGTCGGGCTGGGTATAGAACAGAGAACGCTACTCGAAATTGGCGCTGCAGCAGTTGATTTGGTTAGCGATGTTACTGTTACCGGCGATCCTCATAGTGGGGGCGTAGGAAAGGGGCATCGAACATCGTAATAGCCCTGAGTTCGAGGCACAGAATGATTTCTGTTCCTATGTACTTCAATCGTTCTTTTCCTTCTTTCCTCTATTAAATGCCAATAGAGTCGACGCAAATTGGTACACAATAGAAAAACGCTCAATTGCATCAGTGACGACTACACTGAGCCATATATCTAGGGGAATTTTCCCTATACGAGCACACATCGTCAATACGCTATTCTGTACAACTAACAACCCGGTTCGCTTGTACGTAGGATTTGTTCCGTCGTCAAATGGTTGCCGAAGGCAGGCCGGCCGGCCGGCATCCCACTGTCTGCCATATCTGATAGGCTTTGTACAGCATACAAATCACAACACTACAATATAGTTATCCCTATGGATAACAGCAGAAACTGTAAATAATCAATTTTTTGCATCTCGATTTATTTCACCCTATATGATACAATGCATTACAGTAGTTTAGGACATGCAGCGTGCTGTCAGGCTACTGAGATCAATCGAAACTGAATCAAAGCAACCAGGACCTACAACAATCGCAAACGCAATTACTCTGCCAGACACATCAGGGACTAACACCGGCAGAATCAACCGTGTGCTGGCGCATAGCCATCAACGATGGCTACGGGCGTCAGCAGCGTCGAACAGCATCAGCAGCGCAGCTCAGCATAAAACGCGAAGAGGGGCGCTGGTCGGTGCGCCTCTCCACGCGAAATGCCGCAGTTACTATAATGCCAATACGTAGCTGTCGTGAAGGCTCCAATGGCGACTGCGGCGGCAGAGCAACGTCAACCAGTTGGGCTTCTCTCTGTGGCCAGTTTTGTCTCGGGCGCCAGATCGAGCGACGGATCGTCACCGCTTCGGCGGTAGTGGAACGGGTCGGACCAGAAGAAACTTGCCTTTCGCTCGAAATTCAAGTTGTTTAAACAGAGTGGCTTGGTCTGGATGACGAAGTTTAACACGCTCCAGGGAAAGAGATGCGAGGACACTAGCAAAAACTAATAATAAGGATTTGAAGCAAAAACTTCATGAAAAAGTTCAGTTAATCATTATGTTCAGTTAGGAAGTGGGTAGAACCACTGAGGCAAAATTCAAAAAGAACACTGGAACGAGATGCAGAAGTTGAGAAGCTCGTAGTGCGATAGGGCGCGTCCTGGTGTTGGCAAACGGCGACATACATACAAAGCATATAAGTGCAGTAGAGATTGGTCTGTATTGGCTATCTGAACTATAAGCCAATATTTGGAAAGAACAAGCCATAAACGTGTTTTTGTTGGAGTTAGCTAATTCATTGGAGATTCATCGCCTCTGCAGGCTGGTCAGCTGTCGCCTAGGTAACCGCAGTGAAGCGCATAGTTTTGGTTGATAAAGCAATAAGAAAGGTGAGCGGAGTTCGACACCACATGCACTACTGCTTAACCTTAACTTATCACGCTACCGGGAGACAACTTGATACTCGTGAGGATTGTTTGCCAAGCGAATACTTACGGAAGGAGAGAAGTAAGAGGACTGGCGATGATCTAACTTGATTCTCAAACTTTCTCATCAACATACTTCGTACAGCACTAGTGGACACTTATCGAACGGTGCAATGTGTAATCTGGATTAACAAATTTCTATTTGTATCTACACGCTTGTTTAATATTTCTACGGATGAATCATTTGTGACTTGTATTCATGTTCATGGTGGTGGAAGTGGTGAAGGTTCAATAATCGACAATTTGTGTTTCCAGAACACTTCTAGTGATTATTATCTATATAGTAATAGTGACGGTATAATATCGTATCGTAGTGGAAACGTGAGGGTGCACCCCACGGTGCGGCGACGATGACTTCGGGTCGACTCGTCATCGTCCAAAATGGACAGAGTCAAACGTACGAACGTCCTGAACATTTACACGACCAACATCAGCTGGAGCAGCTCCAACATGGGCTCCATGCTGGCGAACTTCACGTCGTGCAGAGTCCATCAACCTCTGAGGTAAAACAGCAGGAGCCCTAGGAAATTAGCTATCGATGTTGCCAGATGAAGAGGAAGAAATCTTGCACAGTTTCAATCTTATGGCATCGTTTAACCCATGAAGTGATCCTCTTTTCGTCCATAAATTATCTCGTACATTTCGTGTGTGAAACTTTCTGCCTTCGGCATGCTTGCGTGGTATAGAAGTTGTTCTTTGACTCGTGAAGTCGCTAAGTCCTATTGTGTGGTTTTTTGAGAGAATCGACATACTTCACTGAGGATCAACAGGGTTAGACAGTAGTTGTAGATAAAATTACAGACGATCGTGTGGCAGCCGCTAGTGATAGCGTACTCAATATACAATCAAGCATTTCATGTCTGATATCTACTATTTAAGCCCTCAAGCGTCGCTTCAGATGGCTGGCTTCTATCATCATGACACACAGAATGTCTACACCGAGATTCAAACCTAGAAAACCATGTATCCCTGAGCTTAATCCGCAAGCCATTGTTCAGTTTGTTGCCTCTGCATTATCACTGCTTATTTAGTCTGACATTATGAGGTGGGTCGCTCGCGGAAGGACAGTCAATCATATGCGATAGTATTAGACCAACATAACATTAGCGGACCTAGGCGGAAACCTAACTGAACCTCGTTGTACAAATTCCTTAAGGCTATGATGTGGAAAATAGGCCAAAACGAAATTGATTTGGCGTCCAAAAGATATGTTCTTAATTATCTGTTTACGTTACCGGAGAGCTTACGCTGGTTTCGGTTGGGGTCTTCAGTAGCAATCTCCGCATAGTAAGCAATATTCGACGAGTGCTTAAAGCTGCACTTACAAAGAGATGCTGGGTACATTTAAACGTGCTTGGAAAGGCCGTTTGCATGTATCGATAATCAAAGCTAGTTACAAACGGTCTTTTTTTGAAGCATAAGCTGAAGCGACATTAAAAATAGTTAAAATGTATTGGCGCACTGTAAATGAGATATAACGGTTTAATTTTGATATGACGCTTTCATTATGATAGCCGTATTTCATATATTCTATGTACTGTTGACTAAAAAATTGTACACAAATACTAACAATAACATCCACTATC